GCAGCTCTAGGATACTATCATGCTGCTCTAGGACACAAGCTTGCTGCTCTAGGACACCAGCTTGCTGCTCTAGCACATCAGCTTGCTGCTGTACGACACCAGCTTGCTGCTCTAGGACACTATCATTCTACTCTAGGACACCAGCTTGCTACTCTAGGAGTCCAGCTTGCTGCTCTAAGACACTATCATGCTGCTCTAGGACAGCAGCTTGCTGCTCTAGGACACTCTCATGCTGCTCTAGAACAGCAGCTTGCTGCTCTAGGACACTATCATGCTGCTTTAGGACAGCAGCTTGCTGGTCGAGGACAGCAGCTTGCTGCTCTAGGACACTATCATGCTGCTCTAGGACACCAGCTTGCTGCTCTAGGACACTATCATGCTGCTCTAGGACTCCAGCTTGCTACTCTAGGAGTCAAGCTTGCTGCTCTAAGACACCAGGTAGCTACTCTAGAAAACCAGCTTGCTGCTCTAGGACACTATCACGCTGCTCTAGGTCACCTGCTTGCTGCTTTAGGACACCAGCTTGCTGCTCTAGGATCCCATCTTGCTGTTGTAGGACACCAGCTTGCTGCTCTAGGAAACCATCTTCCTGCTCTAGGACACCATCTTACTGCTATAAGACACCAACTTGCTGCTATAGGACACCAGCTTGCAGCTCAAGGACACCAGGTTGCTGTTCAAGGACACCTAATTGCTGCTCTAGGACACCAGCTCCCTGCTCTAGGACACCATCTTGCTGCTCTAAGACACCAACTTGCTGCTATAGGACACCAGCTTGCAGCTCAAGGACACCAGGTTGCTGTTCTAGGACACCAGGTTGCTGCTCTAGGACACCTGCTTGCTGCTGTAGGACACCAGCTGGGTTCTCTAGGAAACGTGTTTGTTGCTGTGGGACACCAGCTTGCTATTTATGGACACCATCTGGCTGCTTTAGGATATCAGCTTGCTGCCCTAGGACACCAGCTTACTGCTCTAGAACACATGCTTGCTGCTCTAGGACACCAGCTTCCTGCTCTATGACACCAGCTTGCTGCTTTAGGACATCAGTTTGCTGCACTAGGACACCATCTTTCTGCTCTAGGACATCAATTTGCTGCTCTAGGACACCATCTTCATGCTCTAAGACACCATCTTTCTGCTCTAGGACATCATCTTTCTGCTCTAGGACACCAGCTTCCTGCTCTAGGATACCAGCTTGCTGCTCTATGACACCTGCTTTCTGCTCTAGGAAAGAAATTTGCTTCTCTAGGACACCAGCTTCCTGCTCTAGGACATCATCTTTCTGCTCTAGGGCACAATCTTGCTGCTCTAGGACACCAGCTTGGTACTATAATACACCAGTTTGCTTCTCTAGGGCACGTGTTTGCTGCTCTGGGACATCAGCTTGCTGCTCTTGGACACAAACTTGCGGCTCTAGGACACAAACTTGCTGCTCTAGGATACCAACTTGCTGCTCTAGGACACCTGCTTGCTCTTCTAGGTCACCTGCGTGCTGCTCTAGGACACCAGCTTGCTGTTCTAAGATACTCTCATGCTGCTCTAGGACACTATCATGCTGCTCTAGGACACTTCTAGAGCTCCTGGTAACTGACACCTGGTGCCACACCTGGTGTCTCACCCCTGATGCCACACCTGGTGTCACACCTAGTGCCACACCTGGTGCCATACCAGGTGTCTGACATTTGTAATGTGGTCCAACAACACAGGTGATCTTGGACCCGTCACGTCGAGAGGTGCAAGAAGAGATCAACAGCGGATCGATCTTTCTGAAGCCACATTGTCGCCCCTATGAGGTAAGATGGTCACAAAGTGTCGTCATTGTTGTGAGATAATTGTCAAAGCTGGGGCTGTGATCTCTAGTTGCTGATCACTGACTGGCTCTTCCTTTTGTGGCCTGAAATATCTCTTTCCTCCTTCCATAGTGAGGGTCTTGTGCTGTGATCTTGGTGTAGAACCTTCCATAGTGAGAGCCTTGTGCTGTGATCTTGGTGTAGAACCTTCCATAGTGAGGGTCTTGTGCTGTGATCTTGGTGTAGAACCTTCCATAGTGAGGGCCTTGTGCTGTGATCTTGGTGTAGAACCTTCCATAGTGAGGGTCTTGTGCTGTGATCTTGGTGTAGAACCTTCCATAGTGAGGGCCTTGTGCTGTGATCTTGGTGTAAAACCTTCCATAGTGAGGTCCTTGTGCTGTGATCTTGGTGTAGAACCTTCCATAGTGAGGGCCTTGTGCTGTGATCTTGGTGTAAAACCTTCCATAGTGAGGACCTTGTGCTGTGATCTTGGTGTAGAACCTTCCATAGTGAGGGCCTTGTGCTGTGATCTTGGTGTAAAACCTTCCATAGTGAGGGTCTTGTGCTGTGATCTTGGTGTAGAACCTTCCATAGTGAGGGTCTTGTGCTGTGATCTTGGTGTAGAACCTTCCATAGTGAGAGCCTTGTGCTGTGATCTTGGTGTAGAACCTTCCATAGTGAGAGTCTTGTGCTGTGATCTTGGTGTAGAACCTTCCATAGTGAGGGTCTTGTGCTGTGATCTTGGTGTAGAACCTTCCATAGTGAGGGTCTTGTGCTGTGATCTTGGTGTAGAACCTTCCATAGTGAGGTCCTTGTGCTGTGATCTTGGTGTAGAACCTTCCATAGTGAGAGCCTTGTGCTGTGATCTTGGTGTAGAACCTTCCATAGTGAGGGCCTTGTGCTGTGATCTTGGTGTAGAACCTTCCATAGTGAGGACCTTGTGCTGTGATCTTGGTGTAGAACCTTCCATAGTGAGAGCCTTGTGCTGTGATCTTGGTGTAGAACCTTCCATAGTGAGAGCCTTGTGCTGTGATCTTGGTGTAGAACCTTCCATAGTGAGGTCCTTGTGCTGTGATCTTGGTGTAGAACCTTCCATAGTGAGGGTCTTGTGCTGTGATCTTGGTGTTGAACCTTCCATAGTGAGGACCTTGTGCTGTGATCTTGGTGTAGAACCTTCCATAGTGAGGGTCTTGTGCTGTGATCTTGGTGTAGAACCTTCCATAGTGAGGGTCTTGTGCTGTGATCTTGGTGTAGAACCTTCCATAGTGAGGACCTTGTGCTGTGATCTTGGTGTAGAACCTTCCATAGTGAGGTCCTTGTGCTGTGATCTTGGTGTAGAACCTTCCATAGTGAGGGCCTTGTGCTGTGATCTTGGTGTAGAACCTTCCATAGTGAGGGCCTTGTGCTGTGATCTTGGTGTAGAACCTTCCATAGTGAGGACCTTGTGTTGTGATCTTGGTGTAGAACCTTCCATAGTGAGGTCCTTGTGCTGTGATCTTGGTGTAGAACCTTCCATAGTTAGGTCCTTGTGCTGTGATCTTGGTGTAGAACCTTCCATAGTGAGGACCTTGTGCTGTGATCTTGGTGTAGAACCTTCCATAGTGAGGTCCTTGTGCTGTGATCTTGGTGTAGAACCTTCCATAGTGAGGGCCTTGTGCTGTGATCTTGGTGTAGAACCTTCCATAGTGAGGGTCTTGTGTTGTGATCTTGGTGTAGAACCTTCCATAGTGAGGTCCTTGTGTTGTGATCTTGGTGTAGAACCTTCCATAGTGAGGTCCTTGTGTTGTGATCTTGGTGTAGAACCTTCCATAGTGAGAGCCTTGTGCTGTGATCTTGGTGTAGAACCTTCCATAGTGAGGGTCTTGTGCTGTGATCTTGGTGTAGAACCTTCCATAGTGAGGGCCTTGTGTTGTGATCTTGGTGTAGAACCTTCCATAGTGAGGGCCTTGTGTTGTGATCTTGGTGTAGAACCTTCCATAGTGAGAGCCTTGTGCTGTGATCTTGGTGTAGAACCTTCCATAGTGAGGGTCTTGTGCTGTGATCTTGGTGTAGAACCTTCCATAGTGAGGACCTTGTGTTGTGATCTTGGTGTAGAACCTTCCATAGTGAGAGCCTTGTGCTGTGATCTTGGTGTAGAACCTTCCATAGTGAGGGTCTTGTGTTGTGATCTTGGTGTAGAACCTTCCATAGTGAGGACCTTGTGTTGTGATCTTGGTGTAGAACCTTCCATAGTGAGGGTCTTGTGTTGTGATCTTGGTGTAGAACCTTCCATAGTGAGGTCCTTGTGTTGTGATCTTGGTGTAGAACCTTCCATAGTGAGGGTCTTGTGCTGTGATCTTGGTGTAGAACCTTCCATAGTGAGGTCCTTGTGTTGTGATCTTGGTGTAGAACCTTCCATAGTGAGAGCCTTGTGTTGTGATCTTGGTGTAGAACCTTCCATAGTGAGGGCCTTGTGTTGTGATCTTGGTGTAGAACCTTCCATAGTGAGGTCCTTGTGCTGTGATCTTGGTGTAGAACCTTCCATAGTGAGGGTCTTGTGTTGTGATCTTGGTGTAGAACCTTCCATAGTGAGGGCCTTGTGTTGTGATCTTGGTGTAGAACCTTCCATAGTGAGGTCCTTGTGCTGTGATCTTGGTGTAGAACCTTCCACAGTGAGGGCCTTGTGTTGTGATCTTGGTGTAGAACCTTCCATAGTGAGGACCTTGTGCTGTGATCTTGGCGAAGAAGTGAGTGACAGGTGTTTACAGCTGACGGGAACACGTGAGTGACAGTCTCGGGCTGACCTTATCCGACCCTTCATTTTCTTCTCTATGCTGAATGATATAAGAAAATAGTGGACGTCATATTGTTATACTGTATGACCATCGCCGCCATATATATTGACAGTCTGCCAGGATGTGAGCCTTTGTCTGATTATTGACTGCTAAGGTTCATAGAGTGGTTTAGGTGCAGGATTGTATCTTAGGAATATTCCAGTCTTTACCCAGGGTCCACCAGACCTTGGTACTCACTCTTCCTGGTGATAATTATCGCATTTCATTTTCTCTCCCTCTCTCTCTGTCTGTCTCTCTCTCTCTCTCGTACACACAGTCAACAGTTACTAATAATATACTCACTATATTCATCGTGAAAGTATAAATGTATATATGAGCCTCACCATCAGCCCTAAACTATAATACTGGGTAACACAACCAGATGAGGACAACATACCCACCACCGTAGTGTATAAGAGATAACATGGTCCGCGTCCTTGTGTCCGTCGTCATAACCCGGGTCCCAGCCATCAAAGGTGACCCTCGCCGTGGTCCCCGACACGTTGGTCACTTGTGGCGGCCGACGGAGTCGTGGCAGCCCAAGATCACCTGTTGACCACACCACACCTGTCTCACTACACACACCTGTCTCACTACACATCTGTTGTGACCACTACAACTGTCTCACTACACACGCCAGTCTCACTACACATCTGTTGTGACCACTACAGCTGTATCACTACACATCTGTTGTGACCACTACAGCTGTCTCACTACACACCTGATGTGACCACTACAGCTGTCTCACTACACACCTGTTATGACGACTTCAGCTGTCTCACTACACACCTGTTGTGACCACTACAGCTGTCTCACTACACATCTGTTGTGACCACTACAACTATCTCACTACACACCTGTTGTGACCACTACAGCTGTCTCACTACACACCTGTTGTGACCACTACAGCTATCTCACTACACATCTGTTGTGAAAACTACAGCTGTCTCACTACACATCTGTTATGATCACTTCAGCTGTCTCACTACACATCTGTTGTGACCACTACAGCTGTCTCACTACACACACACCTGTCTCACTACACACACCCGTCTCACCATACACCTGTTGTGACCACTACAGCTGTCTCACTACACACACACCTGTCTCACTACACATCTGTTGTGACAACTACAGCTGTCTTACTACATATTTGTTGTGACCACTACAGCTGTCTCACTACACACACCTGTCTCACTACACACACCTGTCTCACTACACAAACTTGTCTCACTACACACACCTGTCTCACTACACACCTGTCTCACTACACACATCTGTCTCACTACACACACCTGGCTCACTACACCCACCTGGCTCACTACGCACACCTGTCTCACTACACACACCTGTCTCACTACACACACCTGTCTCACTACACACACCTGTCTCACTATACACTCTTCTGAGACCCTGTTATCCACCTCACAGGTCCTCACAACCATGGAACAGCCTCCCCCACCAGCAGAACACTCACCAAGGAGGCGATTTGAGAAGGGACAGAAGAAAGTGAGCCTCAAAGCGATGTACACTAACATAGATGGAATTACAAATAAAGCAAATGAGCTTGGAGAACGGGTACTAGAGGAAAACCCAGACATAATAGCCCTCACAGAAACAAAGATCACGAAAACGATAACAAACGCAGTGTTCCCACAGGACTATTATGTTATGAGGAAAGAGAGGGAAGGAAGAGGTGGGGGTGGTGTAGCTCTGCTGGTAAGAAAAGGCTGGGATTTTGAGGAGATGGATATTCAGGGCTGTGAAGGTTTCAGTGACTACATAGCAGGTACCGTAACAAATGGAGGGGAAAAAATTATAGTCGTAGTCATATATAATCCACCACCAAATGACAGAAGACCTAGACAGGAATATGATAGAAACAACATGGTCACCATTAACACAATAGAAAGAGCAGCTTCTGTTGCTAGCAGGAATGGATCTGGACTACTAATTATGGGAGACTTCAACCATGGGAAGATAGATTGGAAGAACAGAGACCCGCATGGAGGACCAGAAACATGGAGAGCTAAGCTGCTGGACGTGGCAACAAGAAACTTTCTAAGCCAGCACATCAAAGAACCAACAAGAATGAGAGGAGAAGATGAACCAGCAATGCTTGATTTGATATTTACCCTAAATGAGTGGGATATAAGGGAAGTTAAGATGGAAGCGCCCTTGGGAATGAGTGACAACAGTGTATTGAACTTCGAGTACCTGGTAGAGCTAGGTCTTATCTCCCCCAAAAAAGAACTAGGAATCAAAAGGCTGGCATACCGAAAGGGGAGTTATGAACAGATGAGAAGTTTCCTAAGTGAAATACCTTGGGACACAGACCTCAGAGATAAGTCTGTACAGGGTATGATGGACTATGTTACCCAAAAGTGTCAGGAGGCAGTAAACAGGTTCATCCTGGTCCAAAGGGAAAAATCCGAGAAGCAACAGAAGAATCAATGGTATAATAGGGCATGTATGGAAGCGAAGAAACTGAACAAAAGGGCGTGGAGGAACTTCCGGAATAACAGAACACCACAAAGCAGAGAGAGATACCAGAGAACCAGGAATGAGTTCGTCAGGGTGAGAAGAGAAGCAGAGAAAAGTTTTGAAAATGATATAGCAAACAAAGCCAAGACCTAACGAAAGCTACTCCACAGTCATATCAGAAGGAAAACAACAGTGAAAGAAGTATTGAAACTTCGAACAGGCGAGGACAGGTATACAGAGAATGACAGAGAGGTGTGTGAAGAACTCAACAAGAGGTTCCAGGAGGTCTTTACAATAGAACAAGGTGAGGTCACTGTGCTAGGAGAAAGGGAGGTAAACCAGGCGGCCTTGGAAGAGTTCGAAATTACGAGAGAGGAGGTCAAGAGACACCTGCTGGATCTGGATGTTAGAAAGGCTGTTGGTCCAGATGGGATCTCACCATGGATACTGAAAGAGTGTGCAGAGGCACTTTGCTTGCCACTCTCCATAGTGTATAGTAAGTCACTGGAGACGGGAGACCTACCAGAAATATGGAAGACGGCGAATGTGGTCCCAATATACAAAAAGGGCGACAGGCAAGAGGCACTGAACTACAGGCCAGTGTCCTTGACTTGTATACCATGCAAGGTGATGGAGAAGATCGTGAGAAAAAACCTGGTAACACATCTGGAGAGAAGGGACTTCGTGACAAATCGCCAACATGGGTTCAGGGAGGGTAAATCTTGCCTTACAGGCTTGATAGAATTCTACGATCAGGTGACAAAGATTAAGCAAGAAAGAGAGGGCTGGGCGGACTGCATTTTCTTGGATTGTCGGAAAGCCTTTGACACAGTATCGCATAAGAAGCTGGTACATAAGCTGGAGAGACAGGCAGGTGTAGCTGGTAAGGTGCTTCAGTGGATAAGGGAGTATCTAAGCAATAGGAAGCAGAGAGTTACGGTGAGGGGTGAGACCTCCGATTGGCGTGAAGTCACCAGTGGAGTCCCACAGGGCTCTGTACTCGGTCCTATCTTGTTTCTGATATATGTATATGATCTCCCGGAGGGTATCGATTCATTTCTCTCAATGTTTGCGGACGATGCTAAAATTATGAGAAGGATTAAAACAGAAGAGGACTGTTTGAGGCTTCAAGAAGACCTAGACAAGCTGAAGATGTAATGAAGATAGGTGTAGGGAGCAGGAGACCAGATACAAGATATCATCTGGGAGAGGAAATTCTTCAGGAGTCAGAGAAGGAAAAAGACTTGGGGGTTGATATCACGCCAGACCTGTCTCCTGCAGCACATATCAAGCGGATAACATCAGCGGCATATGCCAGGCTGGCCAACATACGAACGGCATTCAGAAACTTGTGTAAAGAACGATTCAGAACTTTGTATACCACATATGTCAGGCCAATCCTGGAGTATGCAGCCCCAGCATGGAGTCCATATCTAGTCAAGGATAAAACTAAACTGAAAACGGTTCAAAGGTTTGCCACCAGACTAGTACCCGAGCTGAGAGGTATGAGCTACGAGGAGAGACTACGGGAATTAAACCTCACTTCGCTGGAAGACAGAAGAGTTAGGGGGGACATGATCACCACATTCAAGATTCTGAAGGGAATTGATAGGGTAAAGACAGTCTATTTAGCACAAGGGGAACACGCACAAGGGGACACAGGTGGAAACTGAGTGCCTAAATGAGCCGCAGAGATATTAGAAAGAACTTTTTTTGTGTCAGAGTGGTTGACAAATGGAATGCATTAGGAATGATGTGGTGGAGGCTGACTCCATACACAGTTTCAAGTGTAGATATGATAGAGCCCGATAGGCTCAGGAATCTGTACACCTGTTGATTGACGGTTGAGAGGCGGGACCAAAGAGCCAGAGCTCAACCCTCGCAAACACAACTAGGTGAGAACTAGGTGAGTACACACCTGTCTCACTACACACTCCTGGCTCACTACACCAACCTGGCTCACTACACCCACCTGTCTCACTACACAAACCTGTCTCACTACACCCACCTGTCTCACTACACACACCTGTCTCACTACTCAAACCTGTCTCACTACACACTGTCTCACTACACATCTGTTGTGACCACTACAGCTGTCTCACTACACATCTGTTGTGACCACTACAGCTGTCTCATATACACATCTGTTGTGACCACTACAGCTGTCTCATTACACATCTGTTGTGACCACTACAGCTGTCCCACTACACATCTGTTGTGACCACTACAGCTGTCTCATTACACATCTGTTGTGACCACTACAGCTGTCTCACTACACATCTGTTGTGACCACTACAGCTGTCTCACTACACATCTGTTATGATCACTTCAGCTGTCTCACTACACATCTGTTGTGACCACTACAGCTGTCTCACTACACACACACCTGTCTCACTACACACACCTGTCTCACTACACGAACCTGTCTCACTACACACACCCTGTCTCACTACACATCTGTTGTGACCACTACACCTGTCTCACTACACATCTGTTGTGACCACTACAGCTGTCTCACTACACACACCTGTCTCACTACACACACCTGTCTCACTACACACACCTGTCTCACTACACACACCTGTCTCACTACACACACCTGTCTCACTACACACACCTGTCTCACTACACACACCTGGCTCACTACACCCACCTGGCTCACTACGCACACCTGTCTCACTACACACACCTGTCTCACTACACACACCTGTCTCACTACACACACCTGTCTCACTATACACTCTTCTGAGACCCTGTTATCCACCTCACAGGTCCTCACAACCATGGAACAGCCTCCCCCACCAGCAGAACACTCACCAAGGAGGCGATTTGAGAAGGGACAGAAGAAAGTGAGCCTCAAAGCGATGTACACTAACATAGATGGAATTACAAATAAAGCAAATGAGCTTGGAGAACGGGTACTAGAGGAAAACCCAGACATAATAGCCCTCACAGAAACAAAGATCACGAAAACGATAACAAACGCAGTGTTCCCACAGGACTATTATGTTATGAGGAAAGAGAGGGAAGGAAGAGGTGGGGGTGGTGTAGCTCTGCTGGTAAGA